CTGCACTTCTATCAATTCCCAGGTGATGCTGATGCTGTGGGTCCCGGGATCACACTTTGAGAACCACTAGTCTAGGGTAGTTGGGTGCAGGGACTCTGGGGCTAAGCTGCCGAGTTCCCAGCTCTGCTACCTTCTAGCTGGGCCACTCTGCACCACAGCTGCTTCATTTATAAAAAATCAGGATAATAAGTCTCTACCATAGAGTGAGTCTGGAGAGGGCGGGAAGCGTTAACACAGGCAAACCGTGTGCCTGGTGCATAGCAAGTGCTCCATAAAACTTGCTGTGATCAGCATGGCAAGAAAAGCCCCACTCCTAGGTTTCGGTCCAGGCTTTCATACTGGCTGTGTGACTTTAAGGACATCTGTACTAAGAGGGTAGTGATAGCCCACCTTACATTCCACACAGGGTGTGCTGAGGCTCGAGTGGCATCTGTGCGTGTGCACTTCTTAGACGATAAGCATTGCATGAACACTTGCAGCTGGGTGCTCTGGGAAAACGTTCACTTGACGTCCGAGAGACCTGGCCTGAGCACCAGGTTATTTAAATACTAGAGCCTCTGCCTCTTTGAGGCTCGGTTTCCCCATCTCTAAAGGGAGGGAAATAATAGTGAGAGCCTCAGAGAAGCTGGGGAATGTCCTGAGAACCCCTCTTCGAGGCCTAGTCCTCACTCCCACCTTCAGTTAGCACCAGGGTCTAAGGATTTCGAATCAGGTTCAGGGCTGGCACCTGCACCTTGCCAGTCCCCTCCCACAGCTCTGCCCCGAGGAGCAGCCACATCTGAGAGCCCTTCAGCTTGAAGCCTGGGCTGACTCACACACTGGCCAGCCCCCTCTTATAGGCCCCAGAAGCCCCAACTTGAGATAAGGATGTAACAGGAGAAAGCGTGAGCCGTCCTGCCCAGATCCCACGCCAGGCAGGCCCTCAGTAAACGCCCTTCTGGCAGAGGTCTTTGCAGCCCCCCCAGGCTGCCTGCAAACAGCTTGCCTCTGGGAGCCATCAACTCTGGAAGTGAATTCCTTGCAGCGTAAGAGGTTTCACAGCAACTTTATTCTCCGGGAGAGAGGTGGAACAGCCCTTCCCTCCTCCAGGAGGGGGGAGCAGTCAGAGGCCTGTTTAATTTAATTTAACGCACGATGGCTTGCCAGGTTGCCCCTGGTAACAGCTTCAGCTGCTGCTTCAGTTACAACCAGAAGAATTTTTAAAGAGACAGCCCATTTCAGGGCCAGAATTGCACAGCAGAGAGAATAGCTTCATCACGGAGCTAGAAGATTAAACCTCAGGCACAACAAGGTTTCAGATCAGATCCATTTAAACAATTAACTCCATTCCGTATTTACCACCCCATAAGCCTTCCTGCAAGTGTAACTCTTAAGCAGGAATCTAAAAGGGGATTGTGTGTGTGATGTCATACAGATGTCACTCATCTAGCTACTTTTCTGAAAATCAGTTTCAGTCTTCTAGTCCAGTGGTTCTCAACCTTCCTAATGCTGCTACCCTTTAATACAGTTCCTCATGTTGTGGTGACCCCCAACCATAAAATTATTTTCGTTGCTACTTCGTAACTGTAATTTTGCTACTGTTATGAATCGTCATGTAAATATCTGATATGCAGGATGTATTTTCCTTGTTACAAATTGAACATAATTAAAGCATAGTGATTAATCACAAAAACAATATGTAATTATATATGTGTTTTCCAATGGTCTTAGGCGACCCCTGTGAAAGGGTAGTTCGACCTCCAAAGGGGTCACGACCCACAGGTTGAGAACGGCTGTGAAAGGGAAGGAGAGGAAACTGAGTTGTCCCTGCAATTCGAGCATACTGCCACCAGGTGGTAGAATTGTTTGCTTAGTTCAAACCATAACCAAGCTCTTGAATTATTCGAGCATATCAGAGTGGTGGTGAAACCACTGGATTTTTAACCCCTGACGCTAACTTCTGTGTGACTTTTGGTAAATTGCTTCACCTCTGTGGTCTCAGTGTCCTCAGAGATATAATAAGGAGGTTGGTCAAAATAATTGAGTATTGTGGACAAGGCTTGAGGCTAGGACTATGAAGGCATGAGTTTAACTCCCAGCTCTGTCATGTACTATGTGACATAATTTGTTGCAACCTGAATGCCAAGCAAGAGAATGGCTATGAGCCAGGGAGAGCCCTGAGGACACCACATTACTCTCCCACACTGGGGACCTGTGGAGGCGGGAAAGGTGCCTGGGACCCTCGGGGATCTGAGGCCTAGGAGCACAGCAGGGAGTGGAGAGTGATTGGAGAGTGGATTACAGGGCCTGAGGCCTCACTGCCCCGTGGGGAACTGCAATAGGCCACAGTGGGCAGGGTGGCCTCCTAGACACCCCTAACTCCATTCAGCTTTAACCCAAACCAGGAGAACGGTAGCAAACATTAACGGAGCAAGTACTCCAGGCTGGGCGCTGCTTCACATACCTATGAGGCTGGTATTAGCATCCTCCTTTGCAGATAAGGACACAGCCCGAGGTGTAACTCACCAGCCCCCTGCCAGCCACTGGCCACCAGCCCCCACGTCTACTACCCCTGCTCTCGCTTGTGGCCACACCTCTTCATAAGGAGCCTGAGAGGGGGAGCAGGTTCTGTCTCTACCTACCATGACTCAGTTTGGCCAACCTCAGAGTGGGCCTGGGGTCAGAGGTCATGAGATCACACCTACCAGCAGCCAGGGAGCTTGAGGCACACATGCCTTCCATCTTTCCACGGTCAGGACCAGATCCGAAGTCCAGGTCTTCGGCCAGCTTGGCCCACAGTGTTGTCCCATGAGTCCGAGTTCCCGTCCTACATCCCAGGTCCTCTGTAGGTGCAGCAGGGAAGGTTACCCAGCAGCTGACCTCTGCTGTGGCTTTGTCCACTGTTCCCCCTGAGCTCTCAAGGATGCCCCTTAACACTTGAGACCTGCTCTCTCCCCTCCGGACAGCCCTGTTCCAGCTAAAGCCCCCTACACACACTCCCTCATACAGAACAGGATTCCTCTCCAAGGTGAATGTAAAAACACGTTGGATCTTGGCACTCCCGGGCTCTAACCCCTGCCATGGCTCCCTACTACCCTGTGGATGAGCTCCAGGTCCTAAGCCTGGCACTCAGAGGCTCCTCCTGGGGTAGCCCTGCTGGCTCACCCCTCCCCCTTCCAGCCCCCGACACACCGTGCTCACTCATCTCAGCTTTTGCACACGCTGTCCCCTCCATCTGGAATGCCTCCTCACATCGTACCCACTGGGTTGGTTCCTACTTGTCCTTGGGAACCCTGCTCTGGCTCGCCCTCCTCTGGAAGCCTGGGGGTACCCCTGGTCCTAGTAGGACACCTCCTCCCATACCCCTGGTGTTCCTTTACTCTGGGTCTGTGGTTCTGACTTTCCTGCCAGACCAGGAACTCCTAAAGGCAGGACCTGCCTCTCTCCTCTCCTATCCCCAGGGCCCAGCCTGGGCCACACAGGAGGATACCTGGGGAGGAGCCGCTGAGAAATGCAATTAGTGGGGCCTCCTCTTGGTAGTCGATCTTGGTTCACTCACTGGGATCTGACTCACAGGTTCCCTTCCTCTCTTCCTCCCTCCAAGCTCATCCATGGCCTCCCCCGAGCAGCTGCAACATAACTTGCGAGCTTTAGCTCCCCACACCACACCTCACAGGCCATACTCCAGCTCACCAGGCTGCCCACACAGCTCCATGCTGAGCCCTCCATCAGTGCCCTTGTCCCCCGCCCCACCCTCTGAAATACCACTGCCATTCAAAGCCCACCCCACAGCCCATCCTCTGCTAGACTTTGTCTCCATCCTGCTATATTTGCCTGCATCCCTCTCAGGGCCTTGATCAAACTCTGCCTTGTGGTGAGGGAAGCATGGGCTGTGGAGACTAACAAGGGGGTTCAAATCCCAGCCTTGATATCCGCATGCTGTGTGAACGTGAGCAAGGCACTTCACCCCTCTGAGCCTTCATATGTTCCTCTGTAAAATGGGATGACACCCAGGTGTTGTGAGATTGAGGTCATCGGTACCAGGATCCTGGCACGTTGCAGGCACTCAGTCAAGCCCTATTATTTCTGCCTGGGTCTGTTTCCGGCCAGGCTGCAAGCCCATCTGGGCCAGGGTGCGGCTCCCTTCAGTTCCACATCCCCACCGCACCCAACACCGGGCCTCACACCACAGATGCCCAGAAATGCTGGCTGCACTGAATGCATTCGCCCCAGCTGCTAGGAGTCAGGGGGGTGGGGGGGAATGGGGGAGGGAGGATGGGGTCTGAGCTGAGGAAGCGGCAGTGTGGTGGGGTGAGTGCAGAAAGGAGCCTGGAGCTCATCGACAGGAGATGAATGCAGAGGGAGGGGCTGGAGCCTGAGCAGAGCTGCTGATATGCACTGGGGGTTTTATTGGTTTTCATTAAAATTCCTTCCCGAGGCAGGAACAGCTACTCCCATAAATAACAGCATAAATATTTTATCTGGTGCCCAAGTCGGTCTAAATGCACAGCAAGGTTGGCAAGAATAACGATGGGAGATGGTGCAGGGGGGTCCTGGGCCTCAGCTGAGCTCACTCAGCATGGCTTTCTCAGGAAGGTGGGAGCCGAGGGGGGGTTCCAAGGGGGGGAGCGGGTGGACGGTGGGGAGAGGTGACCAGTGGAGTGTGGGCCCCTGGGTGGGGGGATGCAGAGCACAGGTGGGGAGCCAGGGAGGGGAGCTCAGCTTGGAGAGCAAGCCAGGAGGGGAGGGAATGTATCCTACACGGGCTCTGTGCTGGGCTCCTCAAGCAGGGCATTCACACAGGTCATCTCGTCAAATCCTCTGTGGCCAGAGACGGGAAGTGACTTGCCCAAGGACACCCGGCCAGTCAATGGCAGAGCCAGGACTAGATCAAGAATGTTTAAGGCCAAAGCCCTTGTACTACTGGCTGCTTCTCGGGGTTCAGGGAAAATGTGGGAATCTATGAACAGTAGCCTGAGTACTTCGATAACAGCAGCACCGACCATTCTCTGCTTCCCCAGATCCCCATGGAGGAGAAAAGGGGCTGGTACTTCACCATGGCAACGCTTTTCATCAGGTCAGGCTGGGAAGGGGGCAGGGGATGGGGGGGAGGCGTGGCCTGGAGCCCAGGGGAGAAGTGGCTGAGCCCATCTCCATTGCAAGGGCTCCCCAAGCACCCCTCCCTGCCAGTGGCCTGGGAAAGGGAGGACTTACAGCACCTCGGGGACAGCCTGGAGGGGGTACCAACCAGCTGCATCCTTTCCTCGGCCACAGGCTAGATGGCATCTTCCTGGAGCTGGGCAGAGAGGAGCAGAAGAGGCTGCCTGCCTTCAACCGCACCCTGGCCCTGCTCCGCCAAGTCCTCAAGTCCTCGGACCCCCAGCACCGAGGTAGGGTGCGGGGATGGTGGAGAGCAGCCTGTCTGTCATTGCCCCCGCCCCCCAGCACTGCCTCCCTTTTTTGGACCCTGTTTCTCTCCCTCACCCTCTGTCTCATATATTCACTTGTTCATCTCGAGAGCTCACTCACCTTGCACAGGTGAGCACACCAATCACAAGTACTACAACCGCACGTGTTCAGATGCCTCTCGGACCTGTTCAGAGGCATCGCTCAGCCTCTCAACCCACGTCCTGGCTGGGGATGAGGCTGTGCTGGAGAGCAGTGCAGGCGTTGTTCACAGGGCCTCGCGGCTAGAACAGGGGCCAGAAATGAGCTGCAGCCGGAGAGGCTGTACACCCTCAGAGGTCCCCTGAGGGAGGCAGTAAACACGGGTTAGCACCACCGTGCATTCATCCATTCACTCACGCGTCCCCTCTCCCCACCTGTTTCTCTCAGTGGGTCCCTGAGTGGCCCTCCGGGATTTCATGCCACTGACCCCTTTGTCTTCCTGGGAGCCGACACCTGGGTGCAGCTGGTCCCCTCCCTCCTCGTGGCTCCTCTCCCTCTCTCCTCCCTGCTGCCTCCTAGAGACCCCTCTCCCCCTCCCCCCAGCCCTGGCCTGGTGCTACCTCGGGATGCTGCTGGAGAGAAAGCACACCTTCTCCACCACCCCCATGGGCGTCCACGATTGCGGGTACTCAGGGACCGACCCCCTGGACTGCTTCGGCAAGGTATGTGCTCCAGCCACGCCCCCTCTCCAAACTGGGACCTCCCTGCCACCCATCCTCCTCTTCTGGAAACCTCTGCTTCTCTAGGGGTCACCCCCACTCCCCACCCCCCACCCCCGTGTGCCCACTCAGGAAGTGCCCTCACTCCAGGCCTTTCCATCCCAAACAAAACAGAAGTGCTCCCTTGTCATCGAGCCTCTTTGCCGAAGAATCAGGCCCTCCCACACCCAGTCTGGCCCAAGCCTGTGTCCAGCTCTGTCTTCTATGCTCGTCACCATTTCCCAGATCCACCCTCAGGCTTTTCCCCTTGGGCCTTGGTTCACGTCCCTCCCACCTGCCGTGGCCTAGTGGAAAGCGGATGCAGATGCGTTTAGCCAGGGTCTAGTGCCAACTGTGCCCACAGGCCGTGTGTCCTAAGGCAAGTCATTTCCATCTCCAAGCCTCCTTATCTGTTAACTCTGTGGTCAGTCTGCCTTCTAGATGAGTGAGAAACTCAAAGGAGTTAGTGGACAAAACTGTTCATTATGACCTGTCAAGTGCTGTTCAAGCCTTATTCTTGGCATCTTGTGTATGTGGCAGTTTCTACACTCAGCTCAGCTTTGAAGTCTTCCCTGGAGGCTGGCCCTGCGATATCACTGGCCTGTGCACGCAGCACCGTGCCCTGCAAGGGCGCATCCCTGTTGCTTGCCGGTGGGTGGTGAGCAATTTCGTGATGAGAGATCTTAGGACAGAGCATTCACACTGGCTCATGAGTGTTCTGAGAGTTATGTCCAATGTAACAAAAACACGGCCTTCACCCCTCCTTGAGCACCTCCTCTGTGCCGGGGCAAAGAGGTGCCCAGCAGGGCCCCGGCCCCGCAGGAACTCACCCTCTCAGGGGCAGCAGAGAACACGCACAGCAGCCATCAGCAACAACAGGGGCTCAGTGCTGTGGCCAAGCTAGAAACACTGCGCTGGGTACAGGGAGGTCGAGGCTGGTTCTGGCCCCTCCGCCCTCCTGCCCTGAGAAATGGGGAGGAGCACACTGGATGTGTCTTGAGGAGAAGGGGTTTGCTTGGGGTCTGAGAGGTTCACTGGACATGACCCCTGAGCATGGCAGAGAGCATGGCAGTGAGTCGAGCTCTCGAGAGCTAAGTGGCAATGAGCTGTACCCCAAGTGCTGGGCTCCATGAGAAGACTGCGCTTTCCGGCAGGTGGCTATGGGGAATAAACAATGCGACGACGGGGCTCTGTCCAGAGTTGGGGTTCCTGAAGGTCTGGCACTATTTAGCTAGTTCTTGCAGGCCAACAGACAAATTGTGTGCTCTTACCCTCCTCCCTTTCCCCAGGCCATCGAGATTGCCAAGGACCAACCCCCGATCCTGAATCGCCTGGCCAAAATTTTCCACTTCCTGGGAAAGCAGGATATGGCCATTGGCACCTGCAACATGTCCCTGGACATCCTACGCGATCCGGAGCTCAACTGGCAGGCGTACTGCACGCGGGCCAAGGTGAGTCACCCGTTGACTCCACCTCCTCCTACCTTGGGAATCAGACAACAGGGGCCCCAGGCCAAGACCCTGTTGCCAGAGCGCAAAGATAATGAAGCCTTCCTGGTAGGAAGGAGCTTAGGAGTCACGAGGCACATGGTTTAGGTTCTGGACAGCTGTTGAGTGAAAGAATAAAGGACCCTCCTACCCACTGCAGCATCCGTTCCACAATAACCTACGTGGTCAACGGCCTGCAGCCTCTTCTTGATTGGTACCCAGTGTAGTCAGACCGTCCTGGGTTGGAATCTCCACTCATCACTCCAGGCCCGGTGGTAAGAAGACTAAGTGGGTAACATCCAATGCACCATGCCTGGAGCAGGAGAGGTGCTTGGGAAAGGCTGTAGGGTAGATCAGGGGCAGCCTGAGGTGGCCAATCAGAGCTCTCCCCACGGACCTCGATCCCATCACCGTGCTTAGATGTCAATAGCACTCATCACTCGAAATGGTGCTGTTTACTTCTTCGTGATCATCTTCCTACGAGAATGTTAAGTTCTACCAGGGCAGGGGCCTCATCTGTCTTATCACCATTGCACCCCACTACCTAACACAGGGCCTGGCATATGGTAGGCACTCAATACATATATGTTGAATGAATGAGTGAATGAATGAAGGGCTCTTACTTCATCATTGAACAGACAGGGAAACTAAGGCTCAGAAGGGGGAGTGGCTAGCCCAGGTTGGCACAGCATTGAAACCTAGAACTCCTGGGCCCCCCTCAGGGGCTTTCTGCTCCACCACAGACCTCCCTGGGTCGCTGCTGAGAAGGCCGGCTTCATTTAGGGTAGAAAAGAGGGCAGAGGGGCCTTGCTTGGAGCATCTTCCCTGAGCGGACTCTCTGGGCAGGTCCACATCACAGCCTACCTGCACGACCTGGAGCGGGTCAAGATGGGGCTCGGAGGCATGCCTGACAGGAACCACCTGGCCTGCGCCAAGGCCGACCTCGAGGAAGTGGTCAAGGTATGCCCAGGCCTCAAGACCTACCTGGACATCGGCCAGGTAAGGCAGCTTCTTGGCTTGCTGCACCGCCAACGGCTTCCTCAGGACTATTTACTTTCTGCCAGGCCAGGCCTGGGATCCTCGGACACAGGGGGTCGTAGGGGACATGTCCTACCTGATAACAGTACCCGCCTCCTACGGGGGAGGGTTAAATGCATGTACATCGTGGAGAACAGGCCTGATTCTTTCTGAGCACTCAGGAAGTGTGCCCAGGGAATGATTACCAAACGGTGACAAGATCATGTTTTAGACATGAGAAAACTAGGCCCACACGTTGCCTTGCTCAAGGTTATGTGGCCAAGAGGGGTAGGGTGGGAACTGGAATCAGAATACTGCCTCCCCCTTTCCAGGGAAGGGGGGCCAAAATTTGCGGTGAATAAGGGTGGAAGCGGGGAGCAGCCAGGGCGAGCGGGGGTGGGGTGGGTTGGGGGTTTGAAAGGCTCACCCACGCCACCCCACCCAGGTCTACTACTACATGGGCGTGGACGCGATGCAGGAGCTGCTGGCGGTGGATGAGGCGGCGCTGAACCAGGCGCTGGTCTTCCTGGCCAAGGCGGGCGAGTTGGAGCTGGGCGCCACGCTGCCCGAGCTGCAGCTGCTGCGGGGCAAGTGCCTCCGCATCAAGGGCGAGGAGGCCAACGCGGCGGCCTGCTTCAAGCGCGTGGTGGAGCTGGACGACGCGGGCTGCAGCCACCCCGAGGGCTTCGGCTGCCTGCTCGAGGCGCTGCTGGCGCAGTGGAGCCAGGCGCAGCTGAGCGACGGCGAGCTGGGCCGCGAGGTGGACGCGTGGCTGCGCCGCGCCCAGGGCAAGTACCCGGCGGCGCGCCTGCGGCAGGAGCTGCAGCGTGTGTGGCGCGGGCACACGGGCGAGGTGCTGGGGCTGGCGCGGGCCCTGGTGAGCCAGGGGCGACCGGCGCTGGTGCGGCTGCTCTTCGAGACCATGGAAGGCGACGGGGAGGGCGCCCGGGCGCCTCGGGGCCGCCGCGCCTTCTCCGTCTGAGGCCCCGCCCTCGAGGCCCTGCCCACAGCCCATCCGGCCAACTCTGGGCCCTGCTTGCACAGAGCCAATCGGATTCTCTTTCGGGAGCTGGAGTGGGACTTGGAGACTGCCGGGCAGTTTGTGCCCATGGAGGTAGACGGACCTGGTCCAGGAGACCGCCAACAGAAGGGCAGAATTGGGCAAATGCGCCGAGAAAATAAGAGGGCTGCGAGTCTCCTAAGAGATACAGGAGATGACTGTCTGGTTATGTCGGGTTTCTAGTTCGCGGGACAATCCCCGAGGCCTTAGTGCCAGTCTTTGGATTCCCGTGAGCAACACTCTGTCCTTATAATGAAGCCCTTACTCAAGCTGTGGAGTGGGTGTCAGGGGTCCTGCAGCCAGAAAAGCCGTGGCTGGAGCAGAGCGCAGAGCTGCACAGTGAGCAGGAAAGGGCAGGGCCGAGGTCTACCCTGGTGCTCGGGGCTCTTCCTACCTGGCTAGCAGCCTCCCTACCTGGCTAGCAGCCTCCCTACCTGGCTAGCAGTCTCCCGTAAGCCCCATCCTTGCACAGGGTGGGCTGCAAGGCTCCCAGACAAGGAATAAAGCCCATCAACAGCACCTTTGCTTGACTTCCTGTTCTGAGAACCCAGGGACCCACCCATCAGGAAATGCCACCTGTCCTGATCTTGAGCCTTCAGCAAGAGAATGAAGAATGTCTTAGAATTTTACACTCATGGAATCGTAGACATAGAATCTTAGTTGTGGGATTTTGTTGTCGAAGACTTAGGCTCTGATGGCCACCAAATCTTAGGATGGCCGACCTGGATTTTTGTGGACCTACCTACAAGAACTGCTTACCCGAAAGTCCCAGATTAAGTTCTTGCCAGACGCCAGGAAGGCTAGTTTACACAACTCCCATGGCAAGACCCCATAATGGTTTGTGACTTGTTTTGCACTTGTTCCTTTCTTTAAAGCAGGGGTGGGGGACGTCTGGCTCGCGGGCCATGTAAGGCCTGCAAACATCATTCGGCCTGGCCCTGCCAAGGCATTAGGGGTGAGTTAATTAATGATGGGCCAAGTAGAGCAGGCTAATTTTTAAGCTGATAATTTTATATGGCCTGTGGATGACGTTATAAACATCTAAATGGCCCTTGACTGAAAAAAAGGTTCCCCACCCCTGCTAAAAAGTATACTCACTGCTTCCCTCATATCTCTGATCCACAGATGTTAACCAGGGATAGGCCAGCCCCTACATTGCTCCTCGTGTCTCCAGTGACTGAGAGCTACAGCCCTGTCCACTCCTCCCCCGTCCCTTCTCCACCCATGATGGAAACCATCTCTTTCTTCTCCTACTTCCTCAAACAGGCAAACTGAATCCAGGTAGTTTGCTGGCACAGCTGGGAAGTTGGTGCAGTTTGTCTGCTTCCCCAGGCTTCCCTGTTTGTTTCCTTCCCTGCTGTTCCTGTCCCCAAAGTAATGCATTTCTCCCCGCCCCCCTTGCCGCCTCCTCCTGTCAAGCTTTTTCAATAAACTTTCTTTCTGATAATCTCACACCAGTCATACGAATGACTAACTAGTGTAGCTTCTCTCAGGGTATCTGTTTATTGACCAAAAGCCAAAAAGAGATAGGAAACCCCATTTCCAGGGCTAGGCACTTCATACATGTAATTCTCTCACCAGCCTCATTTTACAGATGAGGACACAGATGCTGACCAAGGTCTCGGGTAACTATAAGAAGAGCCAGAATTTGGACCAGACCTGCCCAGTTCTGTGCTGCCTCCTAGAACATAGTTCTTCCTGGGAGATGTGTCATCTATGTCTAGAGTTGGGTCTGTGGTCACCAACTCTGTCCCTTTGTCCCATACCTTCTTCCCAAACTGCTTTTCCTCTGTGACCTTGGACATCTTCTTCCTCCACTGGCTTTTTTCTGTGATTTCTATCACAAGCTCCCGGCTCAAAGATGCCTCCTCCAGCAGTCTTACCAAATCCTCCCAGCTCTCATGAATCACTCCGTTTTAAGCATGGCGAGCTCTCGGGGCGTTGTGTCCCACTGCGTGGCGTTGATTCCTCCTTGGGCCGTAACTGTGTCACTATGCCTGTTGTCCACCCTGCCCCAACTCTGGATTCTTTACAGCAGGAACTATAACTGATCCAGCCCCGGGGCCCTGCGCTGCGCTTGGCACACGAGACAGGCTCGGTCTGAGTGGTTGGACTGAGTAAACTCACAGCAGTGATGTAACTGCCTCACCAGGTCCCCAGGGCTGAGGCTGGGACCAGGTCTGCAGCCCAAGGACCTTTGTGGCCCAGAATTCAACCAGAAAGCATGGGCTTTCTTTCCTCTTCCTCTCCAGCCTTAGCCAGTTATCCAGTTCTGCCACTGGGAAACAAAGACAAGAAAGCAGGGACTTGACCAAGGTCCAGCCATGAACCGATGACAGATTCAGACTTGAGCCCCACTTCCGGACTTGTGGGCCAGTGTTCTCTGCCCTTTCCGGGCTGCCTCCTCTGCCCAGTTTACATCTATCAAGTCTAAGAGGACAACAGGCCTTCCATTCTTTCACTCAACTAGCACATACGGAGCACTCGTCGAGTGTCAAGCATAGTGCCAAGCTCTGGGCTCCATTGGAGAACAAAACAGACCTGCCCTTACCTTCAGGGAGCTCACAGGCTAGACCTGCACAGCAGGTTATGCATGGCCTTGTGGGCTGCAGTGGAGACTTGCGGAGACTAACAGGAAGCTGTGGAAGATTTTAGCTGGCAGAGCTGGCTATCGTCCCCCTCCACACCAGTCATACGCACCCTGGATTAGTGGCCTCTCCCCAGCCCAGTGGGGAGGAGAGTATGGCTGTCCCTGGGCCTTAGGACCTGGTCCTTGGCCACCCCTCTCCAGCAAGCCACCGCGGAAGCCAGACCTTGCGCCCCCAGGACTGTGACTCTGGCTGGTAGGGGGAGGCTAGTGGGTGGCTGATCATTATTTAATTACAGTTTTGAGCTTGCAAACACCGCTGCCCACTGGGCAGCTGGGGGAACAACTGTGTCACACAACTGAAGCAGCAGGAGCTCCTTAGGGGAGCACTGCAGAGTAAAAGCCTTAATGACCCCATGATGGGAGTAATGAAGATAAATCACTCCTCGTGCGCCTGCCCACTCCTTCCTCTGTGTCTAGCACAGATCGCAGGCAGCTAGACACTCCTGTTTAGCCAGTGTGAGCAAGGCGTGGTAAAGGAACGCAGGTGACTTTTCAGTTGCAGGTCTCCAGAATCTCAGAGTTGGAAAGAACCTTAGTCATCGCCTCTTCCAGCTTCTCCATCTAAAGCAGGACTCCTTGCCCGGCTGGTGTGGCTCAGTGGTTGAGTGTTGACCTATAAACCAGGAGGTCACTGTTCCATTCCCGGTCAGGGCACGTGCCAGGGTTACAAGCTCAATCCTCAGGTGGGGTGTGCAGGAGGCAGCCGATCAATGATTCCCTGTCATCACTGATGTTTCTCTCTCACTCTCCCTTCCTCTCTGAAATCAATCAAAATATATTTTTTAAAAATAAAGCAGGACTCCTCTCAGCAGTGATTGTTCTGAAAGGAGGGTCTAAACCACGTGCATACCTCTGGCAGACAGGCAGCTCATTACCTCCTGAAGGAACCAATCCATTTTTCAGTGGGTCTGTCTATTGAGTTTGTTCTTCTATTAGTTGAAATCCTCTTTTCTGTACTTCCTATCTTCTGATTCAAGTTCAGCTTCTGAGGCCACACAGAGCAGACCCTAATAAGCATGGTGACCTGAACAAGTTCTGTCTGGCCCCATTCTCCCTCTCTCTGTTGTGGCACCTGTTGCAGGGTTTGGGTTGTTCAGAAGGTGGCTGGCTGCTCTGCCGACGGCCCGCCCAGCTCTGACCTGACTTCCAGCTGCCCGTGTCCACCCAGCCTGGAGCCTGCACACAGCAGTGCCAGCCGCTGAACGCAGAACAGAACAGGGCTCTCCCGGCCCTAATCGGCCCTGAGGGAGCAGCGCCCGTGTGGACGATGGTGGCCGGATACCAAATAAAGTGAAATATCTCCTTTTCTCAGGCTGTTAACTTTTTTTCTTGTTTAAGGAAGGGGAAGATAACGACATTTAGCACTTTACAGCTCAGCAGTGAAATGAGCGG